AAAAAAAAAAAAAAACCTAAGACTCCCAAAATGCGCAAAGATATTTACCCAAGCCCAACGCCAAAACTAACCTGAGTTAAAAACAGACAACTAAAAAACGAATACGGTAAAGGTATGTAATGCCGTTAAACTGATTCTATCGCTATCGATATGTACCACTTTCCATTAAATTAGAGAACAGCTGACCTAACCTGACCTGAGTTGTTCGTTCTTGCTACATAGGCTCGAAATGCCGCCAGCCCAACAAAAGTAGCAGCAGCTCCAACTGTAAATTTGAACAAACCAAGTTAAGATCTCTTTTATTGGATTTGAACCGATAGCTCTCACCGTATGAAAGCGATAGTGGCCGCGGTCTAAATCTTAAAAAAGAAAGAAACACGCAATCTCACATGTATCTATAGAAGAACACGAGCACACTGTACGAGCTAAAGATGTCTGTAATCCATATTGTGCCTTATTCAAGTGTGCTTCGGGACAAGCGAACTTTTTCACTAACGTATAACTCGCATGTTCAGTTAATAATGCTCGAACGATCTAACTAACCATAGTTTCTGCAGTTTTCCCTTAGATATATCTATGTATATGGAATGTCACGTGCGGCAATTGCATGAGCAGACCTTTTAAGCATACATTCATTTTTTCTTTTACTATATTATGGAATTATTCGGGAGTGTACCTGGGAGGTGTGGCTGGATGTGTGACAAGCTGGCGATACTGCTTTTGGCGGCGGCCAATATCAGTGTCGGGTATGCTCAGATGAGGGCGCTCGGCAGCATTTATTATTCTTGAGAATACGTCATTTTTATCTCTATCCTTCATGCTCATGTGAATAGGTGCATCAATCCCCATATTCAGACAAATCTAAAACACAAAGATAATTTGAAAAAAAAAAAGATCAAATGTGGCTCTCTGTACTGTCGAGAATATCTTTTTCCTAAAATATAAATGAATAAATAAATAAAGTGGAGAAGGTGAGGAAATGGGTATACCTTTGCGGAATCATTTTTCACTTTCGCATTAGAATCACGATAGTCTTCAGATGCAATGAGAAGGCAAGGCATCCCATAACCAGTCTCTTCCCCTAGCCTGGCAACGAGTGAGAGCAATTCTGTTGCACCTTTAAAAGAAGACTCGTTTGAGCTACAAAAAAAGAAAAAAAAAAAAAGGCATGAAGAGCCACTTCATTGAATCTGAGTTTTTCTACATTTAACCCAAAGGGGAAAAAAACAAGAATACGGAAAAAATGAAAGAAATAAAGCTAGTGTAGCAATGCACTCAAACCTGTTATACATGAAAACAGCTACATCACAAGCAGCCAGACATTCCTTATTGTACAATAGTCTCTTAGCTCCATCTTCTGGAATCTCCCGAAGTATGAGAGTTTTCTTATTGCCCTGCAAAATTTAGTCTATTGGCAGTAGTCAAAATTCACAAATTAAATTGTTTTACACAGGAGAAAAGTCTTTTCATCTCCATGATACTGCCAGTCAGTAAGTACTCACCCCACGCCGATTAACAATATTCACAGCATATTGTTTGTCAGCTGTCGGAATGTAATTTTCAGGAAAAGGTCTGCAAGTGAGAGAAACAAAAATAAGTTCTGTTAATCATATTTCCATGAGTAAAGGCATAAAAGAAAAAGTTCATTTTGTAACAACTTATAATGCACATACCTTCCCAACAATGAAGTAAAAAATACAGACTTCCCAGCTTTTTTAGGTCCGAAGACGTAGCATTGGAAAACATTTCTGTCAGTCTGTTGCTTCTTTTTATCTATTGATCTTCTCGTAGTGATGTGAAGAGCTGATGCTGCATTGAATTTGTAGCCAACATATATTAAGTTTACTACACTTTGAGCTGGATCAAGCGATGTCATCAAAGACCACTGCAATGCAATGCAATATCCAAATTTAGAGAGATGCAACAAAAGTATCATATCATTCGGCCATCTCGGGAAAGATTACTCATTTACTGAATAGAACATTGGAAACGGGATATTGTTAGATTTATCTTCACTTCAGGGATACATGGAATATTGCAACTAAGTCTGCAAACGAATCGAGCGGCTTGCGAGCACTCGAGACAAAGCTCGGCTCGAGCTCGAGTTTGACAGAACTCTAGCCGAGCTCGAGCGGCTCAAGCATGTGATTGAGTCGATCTCGAGCATAGGTTTTGGAAAGTCGAGCGGCTCGAGATATATAGTGAATTACAAAAAAAAACCCTTATATATAAATATTACATTATTTTATATATGTACTTAAATGGTAATTTTTACTTGAAATTCAAGTCGAACTCGAGCAATTTGTCGAGCATTTTGATTTCAATCATTCTTGAGCCAAGCTCGAGCCATTGTCTTCTTTTGACGAGTCGATCTCGAGTGCCATAAATCAAGCTCGACGAGCTCGAGCAGGTAAAAAAAAAAATAATAATCTTGCTCGATAAGGCCAATGCTCGACTCGGCTCGACACTTTTGCAGCCCTAATTGCAACACGCTGGACACCCATACGCACCTCTAATAGAAATCCAGAAAGAGATAATCCACCCGACGGAGTTCTCAGGACCGCGTCCTTATAAGGAGCTTCATCCCATGGACTAAATTGTACATCATGATAATGAGGTTAGTTTAAAATTGGGAAAGACAAGGGAAAGGATAACAACTACTTGTGAAATGCAGAAGAACTTTTCATAAAAGAGAAAAGAGAAATGCTATAGGAACATAATATTGTATATAGGGGTGTACATAACACTCATATTGTGTGAGACCGACCAAAAATAAAAAATCAAGTGGACCCCACTCCATGTGAGTGTTATGTACACCTCTATGTACATATATTATGTATTTCTAGCATTTTCCAAGAGAAAATGATAGATATTTGTAATATGATGACTTTCGACAAAAAAAGAAAAAAATGATAGCAATCTACACAAACAAGTTTTACCTCTCTGGTGCAGTTGAAAATAGATCTTCAAGCTCACCATCGCTAAGAAATCCATCCTATTGAAGCGCAAAAGATGTTCAGCCCAAAAGTGGCGGCAGTGAGGTATCAATTTCTTTTTTTTAAGCAGCATCAACCAGAAACAACTACACAACAATAGTTTGACTGAGTAATATCTAAGCTTTTATGGATATATTTACATGTATGGTTGATTGCCTTCATAGACAAGGAAAAACTTTCAATGCTGGGAAATGGAGCTGTTGAATTAAAATATTTTTTACCCATTCTTCATTTTACCAAGTAAGCTATGATCATGTAATCAGAAAGAAATCTAGCCTTTTGTAAAGGTCATCTGTCTTCTTTTTGCTAATAGATTTCCATTGGTTGCCAGATCCCACTTCACCTCACAAGTTCAAAATCAGTGCATTGGACATTAGTCTGCTTGCTAGAAGATAGAGATTTTCATTTGGTTTCCAGAGCCTACTTCACATCACAAGATCGAAATCGTACAGGCAACATTTTCTGTCTCCCGCCATGTTGTTGCTTCATGCAATAAAGTAATTTTTTCAGAAGATTCCAGAATTACAGTTAACTCTCCCCCCACATAAAATACACACTAGATTTGACGTAGACTATAAATTAAAGAAAAAAAGTTGACATACTTTATCATCATCGAATATGCTGAAGATTCCCTTAAGAAATTTTATAGCTTCACTTGTCAATTCAACACTCTGCAAAGGCAGAAACATATGGAAATAGATACCATAAGAACAAGGACGAGCTACATATCAAAACAAGATTATATTGCATAAATCAGTGCCACCACCGAATAATTTCAGGAAGTGATATTATTAACCAACAACTGTTGATCATGAGGATAAGCACTCCTCGATAGTTCTAAAAAGGAAGTTCAAGGAAAAAATTAAGGCCCATAGAAGATTCTGATGGTAGATAATCAAATTTATAGACTAAAATCTTAAGCTAAATTAACAGTTGAAACCAAATCATGAACAACTCATGGAGCGGAGGAACAAAAAACAATTAAGTTGTACACAAGATCACTCATGATAACTCAGAATTAAATCTACAACTGTCAATAATATTAAACAGATTCAGATTTGAAACCCGCACGGAGCCTTCTTATTTATTGCATAAATTCATCTAGATATGCAATACAATAACTCAGGATATTCTTTTTTATATGTAACATGAATCACCTGATCTGGAGACTTTTTGTTGGGAACTGATAAGTAATCATCCCTAAGTTTTAGCTCCTCGTTGTAACCAAATTTTCTTAAAACAGTCCATGTGTTATCTACTTGGCCTTTCCCTTTAAATAGAACATGAAGGAAAAGAAAGCCCTCTATGGTAATACCAAGCAACTTCTCTTGTACCAAACTCTTAATGCTCACTACATCAGCAAGTCGCAAAGGATAACCGAAACATGTAACCTGCTAATCAGAAATGGAAGTTAGAGGGTGGAAAATTCAACAAGAATACAAAACAAAAATAATGGACAGAAGAAGAAACATCGCACGAAAAACATAAAAATCAGCACAAACTGCATTTCACCATAAAGAGAAAACTAGGATGTACATGAAGAATACAAAGAATAAAGAGAAAACTAGGATGTACATGAAGAAAACCAGAGAGGTGAAAAAATGCACCTGAAAGTTAGTGAGCTCTTCATCATTAAGAGCACCATCCTTATCATGATCAAAAAGAATAAATATCCTCTTCAGTGCTCTCTTGCATCGAGGTCTTAAAACCTGGGTTTCACGATGAAACAATGGAGCTGATGGGTGAAGGGTTGCCTTTTGTGCATAGTTAAATACTTCTTGAATCTATTAAAAAAAAAAAACAGAAATACATGCACTTATCTTCAAACCATTGATACTGTGAAACAAAAAATAAAAGAGTACAACAGCAAAAAAAATCAATCATTATCTCAAACCTGCCTGAAGTGAGCTGCCGAACATTCAATGAAAGCTTCGGTCTCCCCGAACTGCTGCATGAGCGGCACAATTTCATCGGTTAAATTAAATTCCTCTTTTCGCAGATCTAGCTTGCAACCAACCACAATCACTGGTGCCTCGATCTAGCATTCAAATTTCACAAGACACGTTCAAGTTACATACAATTATAACAAACACGAACAAACGTGCCAAGAAATTAATCTTCTTAGTAGATACACGTAGCAAATGGGTTACTGTCATCTCTGCCAGAAAATGAATAACTCGTGTAAAATGAGGGTTTCAAAGTAGAATAATCTAAACTCGTTTAGGCTCCAATTTGTCTCTTGTATGACGATAAGCTAATTAATGACATCATGTGTTCAATCATATATTTATTCCGTTATATTATATTCGAAGCAATTGAAACAGATTATCTGAATGGAAAGTAACAACATCATGAAAAAGGTCATCTGAGAAGAGCATATCATTATCTAATATATGAAGTATTGATACTACAAGCAATTCGAGTTCGCTCATATGCCAAATAATCAACATTTTGACAGATCAATCAATCAAGAAACTGGCTCAAACAAATTTCAAGTGATTCACTAAACGAATAAACATCACCTCATTGTATTTAAAAAAAAAAAAAAAAAAGATGCACATCAATTGGATATACATTGCATTCAATCCACTCGCCAATCAATCAAAGTATGCAGCATTCATCCAATTCACTTTTTCACTCTAATCACTAGCATTTTCATTACAGCTCATTAATCTAAACATCTATTGTTACTAAAAAAATTTCATAAATTTATAACTACCAATCATAACTACACATTCAACATATACCCCTAATCGGCGAAGCTCGGGAAGCCAGAACGAGCTAAGGCGGCTCAGCGTCGAAGGTCGATCGCATGCATATGTGAGCACCACGACGTCGGCACGCTTTAATTGCTCTGCGACCTTACCTCTGCGCTCCAATCTGCACTGAGAAATCAATTCATGAGAAGAAACATAAAAAGGGGGGCAAAATAAATGACTCAATCGAATCAACTACAGGTAGAAAATTTACCTGGAGGAGGTATCGACGACGAAGATGGGAGTTTTATCCCGATAGTAGTAGTGTTGAGAGAAGATGACAATATGACACACGAATTTAAAAAAACGAGAAAAGTAAACAGCACAAGATTTACGTGGTTCGGCAATGTGCCTTCTTTATTATTCTCAATCGTATCAAATACATCAATACACCGTGTATTTATACTAAAACCCTACAAGGTATAAATTTACTTAAATACCCTGGTGAGGGATCTTTATTATTCTCAATCGTATCAAATACATCAATACACCGTGTATTTATACTAAAACCCTACAAGGTATAAATTTACTTAAATACCCTGTACCGTAGCGCGGGGCTCTGCCCCCGCACCCCCGTCTATACCGCGGGGGCTCCGCCCCCGCACCCCCGGCCCAACTAATCGACCCAACCCAACAGGGGCTGACTCCACTCCGCTCACTTCGCTCGGTCGCTCCACTTCCCTTGCTACGTTCGTTCCGTTACGCTCGCAGGCATCAGCCTGCCCTCTTCCTTTGTCAATATATGAGCCATACCAACAAATAGCGCGGGGAGGCGAGTCTGTGGGAGAACCGACGGGACTTCCCAACGAAAGTACGAGGTGGCGGCCGTCGTGATCAGGCTGGACTTTCCGGTGCCTCAATCGCCGGCGACGACGACGCGGATGCTTTTACGAGCGGCTGGCATTGGTTGTTCGAAGTTATTTTTTTCTTTTTTTCTTTTTTTTTTTGTTTTTTTTTTGTTGGTATGAGGTGAGAGCGTTTAGTGTTGCTCATTAGGATTTAGCCTATATTTGGTTTATTTGGTTAGTTTATAAGCTCTCTGTATTTAAATAAGTTTTGTTTGGTAGAACGAATTTTTTTAAATAGCTCGAGTTTATTTCATAAGCTTTTTTAGGTAACTTTTTAAATAAGCTAGTTGAATTTTTTATTCCATTTGACTTATCAATTAATTTACCAAATATTTTTATTATATAAGCTAGCTTTTCAGCTATAAATCATAAGCTATAAGTTATAAGCTCGAAAATTATTAATAAGGTATAAACTAGTTTATCAGCTATGAGCTAACTTATCAGTTAGTTTACCAAACATAGCCTCAGAGAATTTTGAGATTTCGTGAGATTTGCCAAGTCTTATAAATATTAACTAGTTAAATAAACTTCCAATTATTTAATTAATCTTTATTCATATAATATTAAGATTATCAAATTTTTAATATTGTTAGGGATATTGTTGTTAAATTTGTTAATAAATAAAAAGTTGTGAAATACATTATTTTTCGAAAGTTGTGAAATACTTGAGCCCAATAGAAATTCAAAGCTCAGTTTCTTTAATGGGCTGGGCTTTACTCAATATATAGAAAAAACCCAAACCCATACTGGCCAATAGCGCACACCCACACTGAGCTGCATTCGTGAAAAATGTTGCCCCGTATTTTCCGAACACCCGTCGCCGCCGCGCGCCGTCTCTCGACACAGGCGGCGGCAGTCGCGGTGTCTCCGTCCAACGATGCTCAGTCGAGATATAAGAAAAGGGACTCCAAGGACAAGGGGCTCGCGGCGGCTCAGACCGAGGTGGCCGGACCAGGAGACCTAACTACCGCCGCGAAGGATGATGAGATCGCTAAATCCGGCGGCGGCGGCGGAAGGGACGCGCTGGCGCGGCGGCTCTTCTCTCTTGTGTACTCGAAGCGTAGCGCCGCCGTGGCTATACGGAAGTGGAAGGAGGAAGGCCAAGTAGTCCAAAAGTACGAGGTCAATCGCATTGTTCGCGAGCTCCGAAAGCTGAAACGCTACAAACATGCTCTCG